AGATAGGATAGACATGATTAAATATACGGATAAACCGGCAAAGAGGTATACTTAGCTGTACATATATAAGTATGAGTGCGTTAAAAATACATAAAGAGACATATCAAAATTAAAATCTAAAAAAAAAAAAAAAAAAAAAAATCGCCAAACCACCACATCCTCTGCGCCCCTCCTAACGACACCCTAATTACCCAACCATCCCTTAACTGCGGAATTGCAAACAACGAGTTTTCTCCCTCTCATTACCCTCGTTCAGACCCATTCTTTGATGAGCTTTCATGTCAAAACTTCAGCCCTTCTGTGTTCCGAAGAGGTTGTAATTCCATCGCCCTTGTTCGAGTCGAGAATCCGTCGCGTCGGATTCGCCCGGTAACTGCGGGATGGGGAGGGGCGGGGGGGGGGAGGAGAGAGGGGTCAGGAGAGGCACTGGGATAGGATAGCTTTCCCCTTTTGTGGGGAAGGGATTTTCTGCTCGTTCGTCTATTTTTGTCTTTGTTTTCTGTCAGTATGTCTGTCTGTCTGTCTCTCTCTTCCTCTCTCTCTCTCTCTCTCTCTCTCTCTCTCTCTCTCTCTCTCTCTCTCTCTCTCTCTCTCTCTCCTCTCTCTCTCTCTCTCTTTCCTCTGCGCGTCCACAAACCCCCACCCACATCTCTTTCCCTCTCCTCTCTCTCTTTCGTTCTCGCTGTGTCTGAATATTTATACATTCAAATTCCAGACACTTTATGCCACCAGTTACAGTGGTCCTGAGGTGGAAGACAGGCACGGGCGCCTCCCGAGCCGATCACGAGGGCGGGCGGGGGTCGATGACTGCGAGGGAGGGAGGGGACATCATCGCATGACATGAGAGACGAGGAGGGGAGGGGAGGGAGGGGAGGGGAGGGGAGGCATTCCAGGAAAGGCGAAGGGGATGGGGGGGGTCAAGGGGGCAGAGGGGCGGCGTGGGAGGAGGAAAAGGGGGTAAATGCATCTTAGTTGGTCTTAAGGATTCCTCTAAAGGGACCTTAGCGAGTTGCTAATGAAGTGGCCTCGTCGCTAGACTCTCTCTCCCTCTCTCTCCGCCGCCGTCTTCGCGATCAAATTACTTACACAAACGTGAATGCAAACTCCTGGCCGAATCGGGGAACTCCCTTTAGGGAGGAGCTAATGTCATGTGAGAATGACGTAAAGATTTATGTAATAATATAAAGACGTGTATATATATACATATATAGTATATGTAAATAGTATGTTTGTGATATATAAATATATTCATGTATATGTGGTACACACACGCTCGCACAAAACACCACGCACACACACACAAACATACACACACACTGTCTTAATGAAGCCATCGATAATATAGCTGCCCTTCGTACAGGTCAGACATAGATCTCATAGTACCCCTTGCCCCTAAAACCACCTTGTTAAAATCACCTTGTCATATCAAGTGTCACGCAGCCTCGTTCCCTATCAGGGTACTTAGCCACAGCCAATTACTGTCTCCTGTGGCCATTATCTGGAAAGAAGTAATTAGCTGCGAAGATGGAAGTCTTACTGTGGTAACGACGGACGAAATCTTCGTTCTCCGTGTAGTTATGAATAATTACTGAGGAAAGGCTCAGACACGTACGTAGATTAGAATAAACATTCGAGAGGCTTTTTGTTGTTTGGATGTGAAACGGTATAGATTTTTTGTTGTACCATGCTTTGAAAAGAAAAAAATAAATAAATAGATAAATAAAAGCGACGGTTACGTTGAATCCAGGAATATCCAATTTTCTGCTTTATTTCCACTGGGGTATTGAGCCATTTGTATTCATTGTGTGTGTTTATGTGTGTGTATCTTCTCTTTTCGCTATCTGTATATGTCCCTTTTCATCTGCACCCCTCCTCTTAGTTGGTCTCTCTCTCTCTCTCTCTCTCTCTCTCTCTCTCTCTCTCTCTCTCTCTCTCTCTCTCTCTCTCCTCTCTCCTCACTCCACTCACTCACTCACTCACTACTCACAACACACACACACACACACACACACACACACACAGCACACACACACACACACACACACACACACACACACATACACACACACACACACACACACACACACACACATCACAGATACACATTTCCTCTCTCCTCTCTCTCTCTCTCTCTCTCTCTCTCTCTCTCTCCTCTCTCTCTCTCTCTCTCTCCTCTCTCTCTCTCTCTCTCTCTCTCTCTCTCTCTCTCAAGGACTTCCCTCCGCCCCTGTCTCTCCTCAAATGCCGCCGAACCCGTAGAGTGGATGTGATACATAAATAGTCAAAGAAAAATGTCACAACATTTTTTGGGCATTTTTACTCGAAATACTAATTCTGGAAAGTGTATAGGTTGTTTTCCCCGCGCCCCAAAAATTCCAGGGGTCCCGAATGGCTCTGGCAATACCCTTAGCCATTAAGTTTTCCTCGATATTTGTTACTCTTGTTATTGGTACGTTGAATATTGGATTTTTCTCTCTCTCTGTTTCTTGTGTTGTGGGAG